GCAATTTAGACGGGTCTTTACTGAGTCTGGTCATAAACTGTGATTCATAACAGTACAAGAACAATTCTGTTATTAAAGGGGTGCAATTGGTGTCCATAGGAATACCTACAACCTGCCGATAAACTTTATTGACGAAACGTACATAAATATTATCAAGGAGAAAATTAACAACTTCAATCATCTCATCACACCTCTAGTAAGTATATCTAGCATATTTACCTTTCTCATTAGAGAAGAAGGCTTTAAATGAGTTCCAGCAAATATATTTGCATTCAGATTTACCAAACGACAATTTAATTAAATAGGAAAAGTTTTGTTTGATAAGATTATGTGGAAGTGTAGTGTAAAGAGTTGAAAATTCAAAACTGGCAACAGAATCAAAAGGACTTTCAAAGCACGTAATTTATCTAAAACATCCAAAGAATTTGTTACACTCCAAAAATAGTTAATTCCACTATTTCCATATATTTTATTACAAAAGTTAATGATAAGTTCTTTGGTAGTAGTTAAGGAACTAGTTAAAAGCGATGAAAGTATGGTTGTAGAACACTTACTAGAGGCCGAGATGAAACGATATTTTACTGGTTTTCTGTGTAGTTTAGGTAACCAATACATAGTAGGGACCTTCAAATGTTCAGAAGAGGCCTTAAGATGTGATGTGATTATGATATGTTTGTTTACTATACAACTCTATGTGGAGCGCACGGACTTGAATGTAGAAGAATTTGAAATTTCATTCTTAAGAACGTCTGTGTAGTATTTACGGCATACCACCACCACATTGTTGGCTGCTTTGTCGGCCGGTACAAACACAAACCGCTTTGAAAGTACTTGAAGTTTGTTTCTTATTCTAGAAATAGGCGTATTATGTAATCTTTAATAATAGATGTCTATACAATTTGTCTAACACAACATTACTAAATGACAATCACCAACGAGATTTCTGACTTCAGATATGTATCTTAATGCAAAAAATAAAAAAAACTGTGTTTTAAACCTTAATGCAGTAATCAAAGCACATATTCTAGCCTTGCTTCAGCTATAAAAACTCTACATTTTTATGTAATCACACTATTTTTGTAGCCGATATAGATAGCAAGTGCATAATACTCTAAAACAACCGGGACCTTTAATTTTACAAAACATCGCTATATTTATATATCAATTCATTCAAAATAGTATAGAGAAGATACTGTAAAAAGTTTTATCATAGTTGGGAGTCAAGAAGGCATCAAGTACAGAATCATATACAACAATGAGAAACCTTCACTTTTACAAAATTAGGCCCATTAATTTGAATTTAAGAAATAATTCTTCTTTCATGTCATGTAAATAAAATTGAGAATGAAAAAGGGGAATATGTCAAAGAGACACAACCGATCAAAGAGCAGAAAACAACCCAAGGCCACCATTAGGTCTTCAACACAGCGAGAAAATCCAAAAACCGGAGGCGGGCTTCAGCTGACCGCTAACCAACAATGTATACTAGTTCAGTGCTCATTTTAACTTGTGTATTTGTCGATACCTTTATTCAGAGCGTTAGGTAATTGCTTAAATTGACAAATTTAATGCCTACCTTTCGCTCAGTGTAAACAGAATGACAACTATAACGCAGACAGTGATAAAGTGAGCATAGAGCATGACTCGAAAGAGTAGTTTCGATTCTAATACGATAACGGATGAGGTCGAGGCAGACTATAAATATATAAGCATTCTTGGATGTTCCTTTTTCCTTCCGTATTTTGCGAGGAATATGTATCAAACGTATTGGAATTATTAGTAAAAGTATTCTTAACTCTCAATCGTATTTTATGACCCGATCTCGGCATTTTTTTGTTTTTAGTTTATTGTTTTTAGCATTAATCAGACCGCTGGTTCTAGTTTTAAATTGTTTCTCTGACTTTGTCATGCCGGAACCTATCATAGCTTATTAACGATATGGAGTTTTTCTCATTGTTGAAGGCAGTATGGGTACTTGCATAATGTCAGTGGTATTGAAAAACAGAATTACCTTAGATTTTTAAATAAAACTTCCACAGATCCAAATTGCACTGCAGATAATATTCAATAATTAGTTTTCAATTATCATAATACATCTCAATCATATTTCATACCCCAGAGAATAGTTGTTTGGAAACCTGATGTTACATTTCAAGTCGCATACGAGAAAATGGCTTTTTACTATAGTAAAACCATTAATTTGTACTCCATCCGTCATCGCATCTGATGAATCAAGATAGCTTCATGTTTTGTTATAATATCAGATCAAAGTTTTTTTTCAAATGATGTCGTCACATCATTTTCCAGCTTTATTATATATATATGTCATCATGGAAGCATCAGGAAACAAAGTTACTCATCGCTATCAAACTTGGATTTAGGTTTACAAGTTTTACAATAATAAATATACATTTTACCATTAGCTTCTGAAATCTTGAGGTACACGTGGAGACTTATCTGAGGAATTTTTTGAATTGACTACAATCTGTTATATTTCCTGCTGTCAGGCATTCATTTGAACCATTCCTGGCAATATTTACTATTATATTTTGATGGATGAACGACTGAAAGCTATTGAGGAATACAAATTAGTAGAGGCAGCATTTGTGGATCTTTCTGAAGCTTTTGATCTTCTTAATCATAAATTGCCCCGTCAACAATTTTAAATGTACAACTTTTCTTCACCTCATTGGTTTACTTCATATGTGTTTGTCAGATATCATGGCGTAACCATTTCAAATACCTTTCTTAATTTAGCAAAAATAAAAACAGTTATACCTTTGTATTTCTTGACACAGAAATTGCTATCTTTTTAAACAAAGATAGTGTTGTTTTTGTAGACAAAGATACTATTGGTTTTCTAATCAAGGATACTGTTGTTTTTTCTAGACAAGGATACTGTTGTTTTTTCTAGTCAATGATACTGTTGTTTTTTTCTTGACAAGGATACTGTTGGTTATTTTTTCAAGACAAAGTTACTGAAACAACTATGCTAAAAGGGTAATAATAAAATCGATTTCCAAAGGACCAAATACAAATGAACAGATAAGATATATACAAACAGCAAACATTTGAAACAAATTAAGGTCTCGGCAATACAAACTTTCATTACAGTTCTTAATAATTCAGTACTAAATCCCCTTTATAAATATATTTATCAAAATTAAGCAAACTCTTGTTTCTATTTTTTTTTTAAAACAAACACACGTTAGTATGTGTCGCAATAACTTTGATTTATTGTGGTTATATATAAAATCTAAGTGATAAACTATTTGAAAATTGTTAACCTCCTCGTAATGTTATGTTTCTTACTCAAGAACTAAAAGTATATATCATGGAACATGTTAAAGATTGGCTCCTTTACAAAACAGTCATTAGAACTGAGGGCAGAAGTCTTACAATTTTTTTCCATGTGTTTATTTATTACAGAATTATCATTTTTTTGCTATATTATGTTTGTTTTTGTTTTTGTAACAAACTTAATATGGTAATTACTATACTATATATAAAAATATTAATTTTCGCGAACCATTTAGGTCACGGAAAATACTATTTTTTACCATCAGTAAGGAGAGTTCTACAAATAATGTGAATACACAGAACCCCGATCCAATTTATCTTTTGCTAAAAGTGTTCATCATTTTCTGTTTTGTATCTACTAGCAAAATTCCATTTTTCTATAATTCCTATTTAAGTGTTCAAAAACCTGCTTTAAAAATAGATATTCCAAAAGTTATGATTGGTTGAACTACTGAGGTGATCCAAAATATTCACAAACCTAAACTATAAATACATTTCCTCCGCGCTGAAGATGAGCTTGAGACTGAATGTAAGTCTTCAGGGAAGCTTCTGTAAAGATAATATATTAATCCTGATGTAATCTTTAATATAAAATGAAGCGGAAACTGTATATCAGTAGATGAGATTGTTAAATGAACGTCTATATAAATGTTACATAAAATCCGATAGTGAGTAAGTATCTATCCCGCCATAAAAAATTCCATGTATGAAAACTTCTTCGACTGTGAGAACGGAGAATTTAATCTTTTTTTTTTCAGAAATTCCATTGAGCATTCATGATTATTTACAATAATTGTATTGTATTTGGGTGCTGTTGACCTTTGTCTTTGAGAGCGGTAAGTAACAATCCCATTTCTTAGCACTCTGGACAAAAATGTGAACCTTGACGATATGGGTCACTGACATTTTTCTCTGATTTAATATCGAACTATTTAATAATTTCTGAATTATCTGTATTTGCAATATCTTTGTATTTAACATGTAATTATGAACATATCCTCAATTTGTTAATACAGGATAAATGGCTATTATACATGTATGATGATAAAGAATTTGTATGCACACAAAAGATGGCGGCGTGCACGTGACATTTGTAAACAATCGTCGAAACGAACACGTGTCAGAAATTTCCATATCAATCCAAATTTTGAATTATTTCTTTACAGATTTTGCAAAACATACTGAATTTCCACCTATTTGTCTAACCAAATTTTTGTCTCGAACTAATATATCCATGAAACTTATTCGATGGACAATACAACATCATCTATATATTAATGATTAGTCCGAGATTACTCTGACGTCCAAAGGGTGGCAGGTATATGAAACTTACATAAATGAAGAGATAAATGAAAAAATGAACAAATTGAGGCCAGATTTATATAGATCCAAGGCCGTCAGTCGGCCCCAGAAGCAACGAAGCAGCGCATCCATTTTGGACGGGCAAATATCCACTTTTATGACAATAAAGATATTATATTAATAAACAAACGTTTGAATATAATGAATTCCTACTAATAACAGGACAATCGTCGGGTTTATGAAATGAAAAATACTATTAGGCAAACGTACTCAGCTGATCCTTTTAAATCGGTTTGAATAACACGTAACTAGAAGTATGTTTGAATGATATTTATATAGTTTAAATAATACCCTTTTCATGATTTTTTTTAAATATTTGTTATATGAATCGTATCATACTTCAAATTGGTGCATAGATTCATAACGAGGAAGTGAATATTGGAAATTCGTTGCGTTATCTCTTTTAAAAAGTGTAACTGGACCTGAACATTATAATCAACGTTGTTCTGACAGTTTGATGTAAGTGTAAATTTGATTTTTAACATAATTTATTTGATTCGGCCTTCCAATTGTTTTAATACAAGTGCGACTGATGAGTCTTATGTAGACGAAACGCCCGTCTGGCGTACTAAATTATAAGCCTGATATATTTGAAGAGTTTTACACTTAGATGTCATTAATGTACTTGGAATTTCCCGCATTTACCATGCTTTACCGTTATATTAATCAGATTGCTTAAAAATTCCCCTCTTAAATTCATTTTGTATTAACCATAATATCTGGGTGGAAATTAGATACTCATTCGGGCTCGCGGCTTCATGGATATATCATGTACGTGTACATATTCACATTTAGATAAGTTTCTTTAAAATCTGAAACCTAAATAAAAAATGAAAAATTGTGTAATCCATAAAAAAAATATGAAATAAAAAAGGCTAAGAAGCAAAATTTATTTGTTTTTATTAGGCTGACAACCAAACAAGCAAAATATACGACGTTCACAATGTGTGAATAAATCTTGTCTTATTCTCAAGATTCAGCAAAAAGTAAAATAACAAAAATACCGAATTCCAAGGAAAATTCAAATCGGAAAGTCCCTTATCAAAACTCAAACACATTAACCGAATGGAAAACAACTGTCATACTCCTGACTTGGTACATGCATTTCCTAATGTAGAAAATGGTGGATTAAAGCTGGTTTTGTAGCTAACTTAACCTCTCACTTGTATGACAGTCGCATAAAATTCCATTATATTGACAACAATGTGTGAACAAAACAAACAGACATAATAGGTAAAAATATCAAAAAGAGGGGTACAGCAGTCAAACATTGTGTTATAATCTTAATCACTATAAAAACAAACAATTATGTCGACAAAGAAAAACAAAATGGCATAAAGACAAAGCACATAAGCAAAATGAGTGACAAGAAAACAAAAAATGACCACAGAACAACAACACAATGGCGGGATGCATAAGTACCGAGGCACGCCAAAAGGAGATTACCAAAAATGAACTAAACAGTAAAAGATTTCTTGAATTTTTATCGACATGTGTAAACATTTGTTACTGTTTAGTTCATGGCGAAATATATAAAATGGTGATGGTTTGCAGAGGATTAATCAGTCATATGCTCATTGTTGAAGGTTAACTTCTTCGTCATTAGGTTTCTGGCGGAGAGTTGTCTCATTGGTAATAATACCAAATCTTCTTATTTTTATAGATAACATGTGAGTCTAAATATTCAGATTTGTATTTGTATTTTTCACCAAAATTAAATTTAATTCTATGCAAATTGGTAAGATGATGACTATGAGGTAATACGTTTTATTCTATTTCGACATTTGACAAACCAATTAATATATAATATGCCGATAACAATATTTGCTCTAATAATACTAAAATAAGGAAGTATTTAAACAAAAATCCTAACTATTCATAGATGACTTTAAATCTTTAAAAATTGAATGCATCAGTGATGATGTATTCCTATAAATAGACTTTTTTTATGGTGAAAATATTTGAGATACTCTAATTCAAAAGAAATATTGAATGATGCATAGAAAACTAAACATTCGTTGCATCAATGATATAAATTGTTCTTTTCTTAATAGCTGTCATTTGATTTATACATCTCTTCCAAATTATAGGTCTGAAAATTCCTGGTGGAGGGTAAATCGTACAAATTAACTAAAATTAGAAATTTTGAAACATTGCAAATAAAAAGTATTCAGGAAAAACAACTAATTCAACGAATAGCTTGTAATCAAGTCCGGACAATATGAAAATAAACAGAAAAAAACAAAAGAAGATGTGACGGTAACCAATAGATATATCGTTGCCATTTTGGTATCAGAAATCACAATATGACTTTAGAATATTGACCGGTCTGCCATTTTGCCAACCTAGAGACAATCTCCGACCGTCTTAAACACATTGTTCATTTAGAGTCTGTATTATTATCTTACCTCCTATACATTTCTAGGAATGTGATTGGTTAAAAGCGCCCTCGTGGAGACCGTGTATATTTCATATTAGGCTAGTAGGGAGGCGGGGCTTATCTCATACACGGTTAGTAGCGGTGTTACGTCCCTTTATATTCCTTATAAGGTAGTAGGGAGGCGGGGCTTATTTCATACACGGTTAGTAGTGGTGTTACGTCCCTTTATAAAAAACAAAACGGTACTGAGAAAAAATCGTAAAGGTTTCAACAGACGAAGAAAGTGATGATTAAGATTGAAATTAATTCATAAAACACATTTAAACCTAACAAGTTGTTATTGTTGGTATCTTTTTTTGTAGGATCAATGGAAGTAGTTTCTTAATGCTAACAGTATTGAAGACTTGCTCATTTGATAGGTCACTACATAATCTATATTTTCTATATATTTCATGTTCATATGCCGATGTAGAAGTCGATTTGTTTGTCAGAAGTAGCTTTTCATTTTTAAAGTAAAACGTAAAGGGTATAACCTGTTTAATTTAAAACAGTCGTGGTAAATAGTCATTACATGTCCTGACTGTATAACGTTATAGTGTAATTAGTAAATAGCCCCCCCCCCCAAAAAAAAACAAAAAACAAAAACAAAAAAAAACCACGCAGTCATTCATACAATCGTTCAGGAATTGACCACTATATACGCTACATACAGAGTGGTGATAATACATCTGATATGAAAAATGACATTTTACGATCTTTTTTTTCATATGCTTCAACAATGGAGAAAAAAAACCCAGTTTAATATATTGATCCTTTTAAGTGGTTCTCAAGTAGAAGTTCAAAAAGTGAAAAGTTTACGGACGACGGACGCCAAATGTAATACATCCGATATGAAATCTTTCTATCATATGCCTCAACAGGGGAGAAAAACAACAGTATAATATATTTTTATATTCACGATAAAAAAAAATCAACAAAACAAAATGAACACTGTTTGGAAAAGTCAACATTTGTAAAGCTAAATTATGCTGGAAACTTTGAAAAATGCATTTATTGTATCATTACATAATATATTTTCCTGTATCTTAGTATTTGTTTTGTACTCTACTTTGTTATGTTTTTCACTAAAACGTACCATTGAGATGTATTTTCCGGAATTTGCCGAATAACGCCGGAATGCCATGCGATAACGTTACGGAAAGGCATGCGATAATAGCCGGAAGCAGTTGATAAATTTTTCATATCATCCCGCTAAACACCATTTCGGAAGATATGGAATTCAAGTAAATTTAATGCTATTATCATACTGTAAAAATTAAAAGTTATTTACTCCAAGTATATGATAAATATATTTATCATATACTTGTAGAAAATAATAGTATAATTGTACCCCTTGATAAAATTTATTTGTACATATATTTATTCATTAAATTTGAGGAATTGTCTTAGCCGTGTGATATGACTTTCGTTATCAACTGCTTCCGGTATATATCAACTGCTTCCGGTTTATATCAACTGCTTCCTGTAATTATCGCATGCCTTTCTTTAACGTTATCGCAAAGTATTTCGACGTCATTCTGCAAATTGCGGAAAATAAACCTCAGTGGTACATTTTAGTGAAAAAAATAACCAAGTAGAATAAAAGAACGAATATTAGAAAACAGGAAAATATATTATTAAACAATGCAAAACAAATAATTATACAATAAATGAATTTTATAAAGTTTTAAAAAAGTTCTTCTTGTCTGTATGGCTTCTGCTGAAGTATATGATAAAAAGAACATAACATGTCATTTTTCATATCAGACCCCTTATCAGCCCATGGTCAAAATCATCCCTCGAGCCTGTCGGCTCTCGGGCTGATATCATGACCTAGGGCTGATACGGGGTCTGATATGAAAAATGCCATGTTATAATCTATATTTATCATATGTTTAGTACAAAATACAGCAATTTTGTATATCTAATAAAAGTTCTTTTTTCCAGTCTGTATCACCTACCCTGTATCGCATACCCCGTATCGCATAGCTAAACCCGTATCGCATACCCCGTATTTAAATATATGATAAACAGAATAATACATGAAAAAATCCGTATCGCATGCTGTATCACCACTCGACCAATATCAGCCCTCGGGACCTATATATCGGGACTGATATTGGTTCCTCGTGGTGATACAGCATGCGATACGGATTTTGCCATGTATTATTCTATAAAAGATAATTACGATTGAAAACAAGACCCTTTGATGGCCTTCGGCTGTTGTCTGTTCTTTGGTCGAGTTGTTGTCTCTTTGACATATTCCCCATTTCCATTCTCAATTTTATTCCTAATAAAACTTGACAAAATGTTTCTAATAATATCCACGTTCACGTCCTCCTATCCTTGTTCATCACTTATTACAAATTCGATTTATCACCGAACTTTTACTTATCATGAAATAACAGGGGAAAAACAGGAACTGCTTACCCTTCTGAATCACCCGAGTACATCACATTTATGTGGGGTTCCTCTTGTAAAATTTGTGCAGTGTTATGAAGACTTTGGCTTTTCGTCTTTTTCCTACTCACATTGGGTCATCTATCCTCTTTTGACCTACGATTTTGATTGCCTATTTTGTATCTTCTTACTCTCTATAGTTATAAATCTGTTTACATGTTTTATTATTTTAATTGTTTTTAAAGTATGTCATAGATATAATAAGGTCTGCTTCGTGTTTGAGCTTCAATTTATCAGTCATAATATATGAGCCACAGTACTAGTATTCAGTTTTGTTATTATATTTTTCCCCAAAATTTTATTGAATTCTTAGATCTTTTACATGAAAATTACACCTTTAAATGGGTAAGATAAAGATTATAAGGTTACAAATCTTACTTAGATATCGACATCAGACATAGGAGATGATTTCCTTCATAGAACCCTGTATGCAAAAGAGAGGCGAAGGATGCCAAAGGGACATTCAAACTCATAAGTCGAAAATAAACTGACAATGCCATGACTAAAAAAAGAAAATGACAAACAAACAACAGTACACAAAACACAACATAGAAAACTAAAGACTGAGAAAAACGAACCCCACTTAAAACTGGGAGTGATCTCAGGTGTTCCGGAAGGGTAAGCAGATCCTGTTCCACATGTGGCACCCGTCCTGTTGGTCAATTAGTACAAACCCTGTGATAAGTCTAATTCGGTAGGTCACATTCGGGAAAAATTACAATATTTGTTCTTTGTCAATATACCAAAAATAGAAAAAAATTTAAAAACAATCATAACTGTTCATATGTGACTATCAATTAAAATATTTACTGCATCAGTGATGATGTATTCCTATTCAAAGAGCTTTTTATGATGAAAATATTTAAGAAAATTTAAATAAAACAAAAGTGGATGAATGCATAGGGAACTAAACATTTGTTGCGTCAATGATATTTTTCTTTTTTTTCATAACATTTTTTACTGCATAGCTGTCATTGGATTTATAAATCTTTAGCTTTTCCAATTTATTGGCCTGAAAATTTCTGATGGAGGGTAATTCATAGAATTGAAAAATGTAAAATGAAATTAGAAATTTAAAAACATTGAAAATAAAAAGTATTTTATATGGGAAAAAATAATTCAACGAAAAGCTTTCATTCAAGTCCGAACAATATGAAAATAACCAGAAAAAAAGAAAAGATTGTAACCCATGGATATATTATTGTCATTTTGGTATGAGAAATCCCAATACGACTTTAGAACGTTGACCGGTCTTCCATATTGCCAACTTAGAGACAATCTCCGACCGTCTTAAACATAGTACTCTCATTTTTCCGTTTTGCTAAAACACATTGTGCATTTTGAGTCTATATTAGTATGAGGCAAATTCATTTAAGGACATATATAAAGCATATAATCTCTTTGCATTGATATCAACCTTTGCTAAAACGATGATGTATAAAATATCATTGTACCTTAACCTATGACTTATAACAAGTGAGTAGGTAAAATTGCTTATAGTCCAGACCGTAAAGAGCCTGTTTCATATGTTACTCATATGTATAGGTTAAAGTTAATGACCATTGAACACAGCTTCCTGACTGATAAAACATGACATAATTGCATTCTAGAAGCAACTTTCACGTATTGCTATCCTCGTTCATCACTTATTGCAAAATTTGATATATCACAGAATTTATACTTGCCGTGATATTACAGGTGAAACAAGAACTGATTACCCTTCTGAATCACATTAGGTCATCACATTTATTTGGAGTTTCTCTTGCAAAATCTGTGTAGTGTTTTGTATACTTTGGCTTATTGTCTTTTTCCTACTCACATTGGGTCATCTATCCTCCTTTGATCTATGATTTTGATTCCCTATTTTGTATCTTATTACTTTTTGTAGTTATACATTGTAGCTATATAAATCTAATAAAATATAATAAAAAATAACTTGTCTTCGTCTTTTGTTTGTTTTAGAATTATGCCACATATAGGTTGCATTTCTGTAAATATTGACAATGCAATTTCCCATAGGAACTCCTTTTACGGCTAAAACTGTACCACTCATACTATGAAGTTTTGAAAAAAATCATATCCTAGAATGGAAAGTTCATATGCACTACTATTTTTTTAAAGGTCAAAATATAGGGCTGTGCGGCATATTTTCAACGTTTATATGCCCCGAACTTCTAAGAGTTTAAACTAACACTAAATTTCTTAACTACCCCTACCTTAACTGTAGGATTACCACATATTTCAACATAAACAATATGCATATGTATATTTACTGGTAACATTCCCAAGTTATGTCTCTATGAGATGAAACATAGAGATCATAACTGGGAACCAGTATGTAAACAAAATTAATTATCTATGAATATTCTATATCTCCCCAAAAGAGGCGTGGTTTGAGAAACAGCTGTATTTACAAAGTGCAACCTATAACATGGTCTGTTTCGTGTTTGATCTTCACATTTGAAGTGACTGTTTTACCTTTTTAAGGCTGCAACTTCATGACAAAAACTATTGCCTCTTTTCGTGCAAACCTCTCATATACATTGAGCAGCGTTCCAATATTTTGACTATAAAGTAATTTTCAAGAGTTTTTGAACATGGAATTAAATGTCCAGATCACATGAGGACGAATCGATTTCCTTCTTTTAAATTGTATTACTATGTGTTTTAGGTGTCGATGCTTGAAACTCTTAACTCTAATATTTGACCAATTCTTATTTCTGCATTTTATTCTCGTAACCACTTCCCAACATTCATTTTACATATTATTTACATAATGAAATCATTCCAAAAGCACATGTACATGAAGTGTCTGTTTTCCTGTCAATACACCATAATCTGTATTTTCTGTCAGTTTTTTTCTAGATAGACAGGCGCTGTTGACAAATCCAGTTGTTATTAGCAAATTTGAAGTCATCAATGTTATAGTTGCAACCCTTAGCTAGTTTGTTAATCATTATAAGATATGTGAGTCTGATATTATCAATATAGGCAACGAGAGTTTACGATGTTCAAACCTCTGAGGCAATGGCAAACTCCAAAACGCTTTTCGTTTGTAATAGTCTTCGTTTAAGATTGATTAGTTGAATTTATCATAAAAAAACCGTGGAACAAATGTGTCTTACTTTTCAACTTAGTATTCTGGTACGTGTCACTAGATCTTGAATTTTAATAGTTCTTTTTATTTGATCAATTTGTTTTAATCTGCGTTTTTTTTCGACTATGGTCTTGTTTTCCAAATTACGGATTGAATTACATTGACTACATGTATTTAGATACTTGTATGTATGTGTAAAGAAGTCGTGAAGTCCTTTCAACTTCTCACGCGTTCGTGTACCGTGTGATGTTGCTTTAAACAAATTTTGTTCTGCATTTATCTGTATGTATTGATTTGGGTTTTTTTTCAGATAAAAATTTTTCAATGGCAGAGAAAAAGGGAAATCACAGCGAATTCACTTTTTTAAACAACCCATCGACTGAATCTGACGAATTGTTGTGCAAGATACACCAGAAGGAAATAGTCTTCTTTTGTCGATGTCATGATAGATTACTGTGCATGGTGTGTAATCGTTTGGATCATGCAAAATGTAAAGGCCAAATCATTGAAATTACAGTTGCAGCACAAAAAGTAAAAACATCAACAGCAATGGCCAAACTTGAACAGGACATATCAGATCTTTTGCAAAATATAAAAGAAGGTCTACAAATCCAGAAAAATAATTTATTAAGCTTACAAGAAGGTGAAGAAACAATTCAAAAGGAAGTACAGAATGTTTTGGTACGTATTTATCAACAACAAGAAAGTCTTCTGTGTGAATTGAAAACCCGTAATGCAAAAGTGAAACAGACAGAACAAGACTTATTACAACAGGAATCGAGAATTTGTAAATTACAGAAAAAAGTTTCCACCATTAAGCAATCTGGTACAGATACACAAATTTTTATTGAAATGAAACTGGCTGAAGAAAATGCATTCAGAGAAAAAAATTCCTTTTTGGAAGAAAGTAATAATATAAAATATAAAATCGGTTTCCAAGTTAATCCACTCTTTTCTTTGATGGAATATACATTGGGAGAGATCAAACTTATGTCAAAATTAAGATCATACTCTGCTTCCTCAACACAGGAAGCACAGATAGAGCTGCCGATGGCTCAAGATATTACCAAAAATGTATTAAAATGTGAACACACTTTTAATATACACCCATCAAAACACCTGATGGAATTATACGGCTGCGTTATATTACCTAATAAACATGCAGTATTTATTGACAGTAGTAATAAGCGACTTGTTATACATCATGAGAACGGAGCATATTTAAAGGATGTACCGCTAATTGAAAAGCCATTTTATATAACAGCTGTTGGTATGGATGAGGTTGCTGTGTCTTATTCGTCAAGACTGATAAGCATAATAAACATAAAAACCAAACAATCCGAGTCAAAATTGAGGAAGTATATTGAAAATTATAGTCGTGGTATCTGCTATGATGAAGGAAAGCTCTATTTTGTAGATCATAATGTTGGAATAAAGGAAGTAAGCATTGACAAAGAAGTGGTACGTAAAATACAAGTGGATTTAGCGGGAATGGGGAACATTGCTGTATATAAAAACAGGATATACTACACAGCTGATCACAACAATAAACTGTACTGTTGTGATACATCAGGAAAACAAATATGGATGATAAGTGACGAAAGACTCAAAGCAAAACAAAATTCAGCTCCGATAGCCGTAGATAATGATGGAAATATTTTCGTAGCAGGACCGGATACCGGGGTCGTTATAATGATTTCATATGATGGTAAGCATCAGAAGGTACTTGTTGACAAGACTGATGCGATACGACATCCACGTGGACTTTTCTATGACAAGCAACACAAGAAACTACTATTATGTTATAAGAAAAATGGATTGGCCCACCTATTTCGTCTTCAATAAATGATTACGAGTTAGAAGAACAAAGAGAGAAGAAAGCTTTAAACCAAATTCGTTACCCTTTTACTGTCAGTATAGTTCAGAAAGAATTACGATATTTTTTTTTACAAAAACAATATTTTAAGCCACTAGATTAGTTTTGAAATCAACACTTCCCAAAATTCTAAATAATGAATTAGCTAAAAAGCGTTTGTACATATTTATTTAAGCTACACACTGCTGTAAACAAAAATGCATTTCAGTTCAACGACAACCTGTCTTAAAATTTACGAAACTAGGTTTTTCACGCCTCTTTTTTTTACTGTTGTATATGTAACAGTACAAATTGGAATTCAGTAGAATCCAGAATCATCTGAATTCCAATATCTACTAGTAGAAATTAGGATATCTAGATATGTACTAAGAGGATCTTGGATTGTACTGGATGATTACTAAAGAAGACGCAAAAAAGAAATATTTTGTTTTTCATTATAATGAAATACACTAATATAATCAAACTTGTTTGAATAAAAAAAAAAGTACAGTCAATTTCATATGAATTTATTTCACAGCGGAGACTTTTGCTAAAAGTCCTACAATCTTTACCAAATTCACAGTAAATAAAGGCAACAGTTGTATACCGCTGTTCAATAGTCATAATTCGATTAAGCAAAAACAAATCCGGGTATCAAACTAAAACCGAGGGAAACACATCAACTATAAGAGGAAAACAACGGAACAACAGAAACACTGAACTACAACAAAAGCAAACGCCAAATACATAGAAACAGATTGTATGATAACAACTGCCATATTCCTGACTTGGTACAGGACATTTAAAGAAAAAAAATGGTGGGTTGAACCTGGTTTAATGGCTAGCCAAACCTCTGGCTTATATGGCAATGTTAAAAATGCCGCTAAAATGACAACACTTCATGACAGGAATACAGTACAAACAACCGCAAGAACACTCAGCACAGAGAAATACATTAATAAATAATATAATAATACATTACAACATGTAAACAGCAGAATAACAACGGACACCTCCCATGAATTTACGACAGCACACCAGGACACCATAAACGAAATATAAACTGCGCGTCACATGAATGGATCAACGTCACAAAAAGTGACGTATTTTTTTGTGACGTTTATATTATCACAGGTAAATTTCTAAAAATAACTTCTAAATAAAAAAAGCGGGATCGGTATACCTGTGTTCATACATCAGACCGTATTGCACTGGTTACCGGAATTTTGGATACACCAAACCAGGCACTTTATATCTGAGAAACTGGCAATATATGCCCTCAATTTTATAATTCATTCATACATTTTTGTATTATTCAAAATTATCAGTAAATTATGTGTTCTACAAGGATCACCAGTCCTTCACCATTCATCTGATACCTTAATTACTTAAATATATGCTACATAGTTTTAGATTAACACCTGTGCGTAGGAACTTTTTTGTTTTAAATGTGTATTACTTTACAGTATGTTCTTTTTTTGACCGGGCCCGATTAGGTGGTGTTACATCTTACAAAGTCTATCCAAATTTATATTTGCAAAGAATTCCTCTCATCACTACTGTAACAACAGCCCATGAAAAGGCCGTGAAATGTCTGTGAAATATCATATTTCTAAAGGCCGTGAAAAATATTTGATGTTAGAAAAAGACCGTGAAATTTCAATATCCCGTGAAAAGGCCGTGATAATTTGTCCTTTCATGCTTAATAAAAAATATCACGGCCTTTTCACTGGTTGTTGAAACCAGTGAAAAGGCCGTGATATTTTTTCATGTCAATTTTTTCTTATCCGAATTCAGATTTAAAACATCCCATGTGATTATTGTAATATGGTCTAACTATTTCCACTCACATTTTTCTAAATATCCTATAAACTTTTCATTATAAATATATGTCTGTTTAAATATTATTATATGCAATACTACTGTACAGGACTGACTTTTAAATGGAACCATTCATTGTTATAATTAATGACTTTGTGCCAATAAATATTTTGTATTTAAAGAAAAAGTATTTTGCTTCTCGTCTGTACATTATTATAAACAATGTAAACATTAATTTTAATTGGAGCCGAAACATGTAAAAACGAGAACTTCCCGGAATATCAGACCGTATCCGGATTCGTGTTTCTTTTAGAGTAATTGTAACATTTCCGCAAGGTTGGGAATTTGAAAGACGCCGAAGGTCGATAAATATTTACTTTATAGATGCAAGACGAGTGACAGCAGGTTTGAGGTAAGTTAAGTTATTAATATTTTATTCTTTTATGCATCATATCAGCAAAATGTTGATGACGTTTGTGAGCATTTCCATTGAACGGATTTTCACTGAATTTGCAGAAACCGCGCAAACATGCATGTGATATATTCACTTATATTTGAGTCTGTTGCACTTGATTCCTTTAATCATTTCTAAGACTTACCGGATCCGTTAAATTCGATTACGGTTTGTTTTGTTTATGTATTTGGGAAAAAAAGGGGGGTCCTTTTTCCCCACACTGGCCACATAAAAAAAATGACATTTATGTACAGTATACTACGTAGACATAGACATAGATAATTGGAAACGATTATAATAGCAATAAGTATCTCTGAAATGGAGTTCACTCTCACAATCAGAGGCGTAACCCCCTTTGAATGTGTCGGGAGCTATTTAAGTATTTTCTGACTTGGCCGTCGCGACACAGAGTTCAAAAGGGATTAATCAGATGCGTAGCAGGGAAAGTATTTAATATTTGTACGGCAAAATGACCTTTCTAGAAGGGTTTGTGCCATATCATAAGAATAATTGGTATGGCAATGAGGTGTTTAAAAAATAATTGGTATGGCGAATGTGCCTGCAGTAAAAGTTGCTACGCCCCTGGCCCCTTGTAAAATAAATAGCTGTGATTCATTACGGCCACTCAGTCTAGACAAGTTTGGCTTTAGCCATACATATTATTACTTCAAAGAAACATTTAAATTTAATAGTCTGTCTTAAAAGTGTCTTTAGTCTTTAAAAAAATCTAAAAAAAATAATATAAGTTGACAATACAGAACTTCGTTAACTAATGATGCCATATTGGATAGGGGCAGATTTTCTGGAAAATGGTATGAAAATATGGGAAAACCTATGCATGTTTCCAAGTGGCTGTTCTGTTTCAATGATGTTTTTTAGTATTTTTCATACCATTTTTACCTCCAGTATGAAAATCTGCCCCCTATTCAATATGGGGTCATTAACCGTGAAGTCCTGTATTGCATGGAATAATATTGTAGCTGTTTTAAGTACATGTATGTACATAAATGCCAAAAATTAATTTGAATATATAAATAGTTTTTTATATACATGTATAATATATGTAATGTTTCTTTATTTATTCTAGGAATGAAGAGCAAAAGGATATAGCAGTCTTTATATAAATAGTTCAGGAATCCAGTTGGAAAGAAGAGCTTTTCAGTTAAAAGTATTTCCTGGGAATTAACAGGAACTTCTATAAATGTTTTTCTGGAATAGTTATTCAAAAGGGCAGTGAAGTGAAGGATTATATTAGACAAATATTGCTGAAGTGGTAAAATCAGACCCAAGAGATGTACAAAATTTCTACAATACATGTTACAGCTGACTTTAGCTACTTAATCACATTGACATTTGTGTGCTTTTATGTTTTCTTTACATAATTACTACAGTTCTATTAAAATTAATATTTTTATTCTTTGTCACAATTATAACTAAAAAATAATACAGCATTTTAATATGGTTTTTCATAGTCTCACTTGCATTGTACTTAAATAAGTTGTCTGTAGATGTTTACACTAGGTTTTCAGGCATTTCACTTCACTTGATTGAAACAGCATTTAAATTTTTTGTTAAATTATGGCCTGAAAAATACATTTAATATTTTACAGGAGTTTTCACAATCAGTGAATGGCTGTTTATCACAGTAGTACATGTACATTTCACGGTCTTTTCACAATGGGCACATGATTTATCACGACTTTTTCACGGTGTACATTTTTGTTTTTTACAGGGTTTCTACGGTCTCTTTACCCAAGTTTTCAGTTGGCACCTTTTCACGGCCTTTTCACGACAAATAAAGGCATATACTGTACTATATCTACATTTCACGGTCTTTTCACAATGGGCACATAATGCATTATCACGACTTTTTCACGGTGTACATTTTTTTTCACAGGGTTTCTACGGTCTTTTCACCCAAGTTTTTTTGTGGCACCTCTTCACGGCCTTTTCACAAACTTTTCAAAGCCTTTTCACGACAGTCATTCCACGGCATTGTCACGGATAAGTTTCACGGCCCACCGTAAATTAACCGTGACAAACACTGAAAAAATCACCAGCATTTTTACGGACATTTTCACGGCCAATCTACGGGGCATTGTTCCAGTAGTGCAAGCTGGTGCTAGGGGCCGTCTCAAACTTGCAGTGAGGTGAGTTTTTTTTTGCTTCGTGTTGAAGGCCTCACTGTGACTTTGAGATGAAGAACAGCAATAAAAGCGCTGTTCCTTTGCTTATTGTGTGTTTTTTTTTGCTGTGCATGTACTGATTTTGTGTTATGGATGGATACCCCATATCCTTTGTTTTTCTATTGTGTATAAATAAAAAAATCCTGTGCATATAGTTTCTTTAAACTTAAAATCATAAAAATGAAGTAGCTGATTAATTATCTTAACTTTTACATACATATAGAAAATGAAAATAAAATAACTGTAATATAAGGCAAGATCTTGTAAAACCAAACAGAAAACACACATGAAAACAAACAACATAAAACAAAAACCCTGTAGATGAACCACGAGTAACTCGACTATACTGACAAATAAGACATACGTGAAATGTACCGAAAATACAGAATTCAAACAACAACTCAGCACAAAATGACCCACTGGACCCATATGTATAAGAAAGTAACAACAAAATGCCCGAAAGCGTGATATAAATACCGAACCACGTCATCTCAAACAGCGAATATAAGACATAACAAAATATCTAACTGGACTAAACATCGTAACTAAATACATGAATGTTGGATATATAAATACCGAGACACGTCTAATAGCATTGCGAATTCACACTCGGCAAAACAGTCATATTTGGAAATAGGTCAAGTTCGGTAATAAGCAGACCAGACGACGTAGATGGTAAACCACAATCTAAGACGTGATAAAAATGTCGTTAGTTAGTTTAGACACGGACACATCGTATAGACCAACCAATTCGTGATGGTGTCCAAAAACTTTACGGAGTGTCATTTTTAATCTTTCCTCCTCATAACTCTGTTGGAGCAGTTTCTGCGGAAGGAGCACACTCCTGTATATGAAGTCCGTATAGTGTGAACATGAACAAGCATAACGTATAAATTGAGATATGTAAACAACATATGACGGGGCAGAGGGTATGTTACTGCTGAGAAACGGGAAATTGATAATTGGGAAGCTGAAATCCTCCCGTGTGTCATTGATTTTAGAGTGAAGTCGTCCATCTGTGTCAATATTGAGGAAAAAATCAAGGTATGAAACAGTCCTTCTAGTATCAGTAGTATCCTTAACTTCAAGTTCACTGGGATACATGAGATGCAAGTACTGACTGAAATATGGATTATTCAGTGATAGGACATCATCAATATATCTGAGAGTAGAATGAAAGAATTTCGCAAGGTGCTTTTTCTTTCTGTCTTTAAGAAGGTTCTGAATGAATTCTGCTTCATACGAGTACAAAACCAAATCGATCAGTAGAGGTGCACAATTAGTACCCATTGGAAAACCGACTGTCTGTTGAAATATCAATCCTCCAAACTCCACAAATATATTGTCGATCAAAAATCCAGTATTTTCATATCATCTTCAGTG